TAAAACCTCCAAAACCACGGAAAATCTTGAATCACCGAGATGGAGCAGCGAGCAGCAGTAACCCCACTATGAAATAAATATCCATGTCTTCAGACTGCAAGAAAACAAGAGAGAAAAGAGGAGAAGCAAGCAAGAAAAAGTCCCGCGCACAGTATCTGATATAATTTACGTAGAACTGCATTTAACCTGGAGTGGTACCATTCCCTACACACAATGACTTCCTTGCAAACAGACAGCATGGCAGAGGGATAAAAACAGGCATTTCCTGGGGCGGGGCGGGGCGGGGGGAACATTTCCTCCTGCAGATGAACAGGTCCTTGTGCACAGAGATGAATCATGTTGATAACAGGTGTCTGTCACACTATGTGATGACAGTGGTACTTTACCAACCCAAACCCACCATCCCAGTTTAATGATGAGAAAACTATCAGACAAACCCAACTGAGGGACAAGCTACCAAATACCTGACCAGTACAGATCAGAACTGTCAAGGTCTGACCTGGAAAACAAGGGAAGTCTGAGAAAGGAGCACAAGGACAGGTGACGTGTCTGGTGCAAAGGGGCATCCCTGATGGGAGTGGGAGTGACTAAGAACACTACATAAAAACCAAAGACATCTGAGTAAATTACGGACATTACTTAGTCATGCACTTACGCGCTAACTGGGACAAATGCGATATTCTAATGTAAGAACCTAAGAGGGGGAAATTGGAAGTGGGATACACTGAAATTCTGTCATCCATATCTTCAACTTCTCCGTAAATGTCACAAGTTTATGTGACAGGTCAATAGAAAAGTGCGTAGCCAAGGGAACGGGTCCAAGACCCTTCAACAGTATCTTTTCACAAAAGAAGATCTCTTCATGGCCAAAGGCCACGAGAAAGGACTTTCAACATCACTACTCAATGAGAAAACACAATTTCAAATACCACGATAAATCATTAATCATGGTCTTAGTTACTTTTCTCATTGGTGAGTCAATATGCCCACGCCCAAAATTAAAGGAGGAAAGGATTATTACAGCTCACAATCTGTGGAGGTTTCAGTCCATAGTTGGCAGGCTCCCAGGCAGGTTGGCCCGGCAGAGGGGCACCACAGAGGAGCAACAGTCCACGGAAAGCAGAGCAGTCTGAAGGCAACAAAGCAGCAAGCAGTGAGCAACACACAATGGCCATCCTACTGCACCTGTGTTCTGTCCAGGCTGCCGGCCCTTAGGGTGGGTAGCACTCACACCCAGGGTGGGGTACCTTTAATCCTAGCATCACACCGGGAATCACTTTCAGCATCACATACTCCAGACCTAGCCCCCTACAAAGAGTCCCACCTATGACCAAATGAGGCTTTTTTGGGGGGGAGGAGGGAACATCTAGACATACACCATGCCACTCATCCACCATGCTGGGCACACTTGTTCTGGAAAACTGTTTGCTAGCATCATGTGAAATTAAAAGTATACCTGATGCAAGAAACAGCAGTTCCATTACGAGGCTCTGACTTGACAGAAATGAATATGTGAGGCTCGGTGAGATGCATGGGAGACTCCTACAGCCACCTTGCTATTAATGGTCACTAGGCATAACCAGTTTTCCATTAGTGAGAGAATATTCACATATTGGAACTCAGTCATCAAAGATCCCAAAATACTGCTACAGCAGCAAACAGATGCATAGCAAAAATACGAAAACAAAATTTAAATAACTGAGCGAAACATGTATGGTATTCAAAGTTGGGGTTTTGGGGGGTTGGTTTTTGTTTGTTTGTTTGTTTGTTTCTTCGTTTGCCTTTTTTGAGACAGGGTTTCACTACGCAGTTCAAGCTGTCCTTCAGTTCCCATTGTAACCCAGGCTGGCCTCAAACTCACAGTAATTCTCCTGCCTCAGTCTCCCAAGTGCTGGGATTACAGGTGTTTGCCACCAGGCCTGGTAATTTGGGAATAAACAAAAGTTAGCAAGCTGAGCTTGGTGGCATGTGCCTGTAATCCCAGGACTTCAGAGGTTGAGGGGGGAGGATCCCCAAGAGTCCCAGGTCAGCCCGAGCTACATTCTGCATTACGCAGCGAGACCCAGTCGCAGAAAAACTAAAAACACAACACAAAACAAAACTTAGCAGGCTGCAGTGGTGCATGTGCCTGGCATTCTAGGAGGCTGAGGCACGAGGATCACAAGTGTGAGCCCTGCCTGGATAGCTCAGTGACTAAGCAAACAACTGAAAAAATTAAAAAGGGGCTGGGCATATAGCTAAAAAGAAAGAAACAGAGAAAGAAAAAGACATGGGGTTAGGTCCAGGACAGTGGTTGCTTTGGAGGAGGTGTGGTGGGCATTGACCACAAAGAGCACCAGGATTTTCTGTGCCAAAGGGCGTTTTCTGTCACTTGACCTAGAGATGGTTCCTTTTTGTCAAAATTCCTCAGGTCATTCACTGAAGATCTGTACTTTTGATTGTGAATTAATTATAGTTAGACCTCAGCCACTTACTGGAATCAATTGTTAGTTGTGGAATAACATTGTTTTTCATTTATATATGACGAGTTTGAGTTCAGTCTGGGAAATGAAGACACTTAGTGAGATCTTGGATTTGGAAATGGGGGGGGGGGTTGGATCACTGGTCATTCGAGAGATGCAAAATATAACAACAGTGAGATTCCACCTCTCCCCAGAAAGAATGGCTACTATCAAGAAATCCAGAGTTAACAAATGCTGGAGGGGCTGTGGGGAAAAAGGGACCCCACTGCTTTGTGGGTGGGAATGCAGGCTGCTGCAAGCATTGTGGAAATCAGGGTGGAGAGTCCTCAGAAAACTAGGACTAGAGGTCCCATTCAACCCAGCTATCCCCCTTCTGGGCATCTTTCCAGAAGAATTAAAAGCATCATACCACAGCGATGCATGCACACCAATGTTTACCGCAGCACAATTTGTAACAGTCCGGTCTTGGAAACAACCTAAAATGCTCATTGACTGAGGAATGCATAAAAAAAGATGTGGTCATTTTATACCGTAGAGTACAACTCATCCATAAAGAAAGTTAAACTGGAGACTTTCACAGGTATCAAACTCACAACTGCCTGCTTGCAAGGCAGGTGCTCATGCTGCTGAGCTAAACCCCCTGCCACAGTGGATATGTTTTACGAACATATTCATTAGTGAGATAAATAAGACACAAATGTGTAAACATCCTGTTGTTTCATTAGTGTGAGAAGCTGAAATAAAAAACATGTATATGTATATGTGTACGTATATGTATATAAAATAATAGTCAAAATAGTTATATCCTGCTGATTTCTCTGAATTCACTGAAGAGAAAGATTTGTGTTCGTATTGCTGGGACAACACGGAGTGCAGATGTCTTGGGCTCTGGGTGAATGATTTGGGGAAGATAACGTGCAATGTATGTACCATTGTTGCCCCTGGCAGACGTGTTTTGAAATTTTGTTGTAATTTCTTTTTGTTCTTTTCTTCTCCGTGTCCGTCTCCGTCTGCGTCTCTGTCTCCATCTCCTTCTTCTTATCCTTGAAATAAAATGGATTTGGGGGGAGAAAAAACGGGTTGGAGATGGAGCGCCGTGTGTGAAGACCCTAGATCCATCTCCAAAAACAAGAGAAAACCAACACCACCACCAAAAACCCCCTGAAATGGCGGAGTGTGAACTATCAGTTCTCATTTGTACTCAAAACATCTCGTGGGTGTTTGCGATATCGGTGCCGACAGCCCCGGGACCGCCCCACCGTTCCCCTAGCAGAAGAGAGCCGGCCGGCAGGTGCAGAGGCAGCACCTCGCACCGCGGATCTCGCCTTTGGCGCAGACACCGGAGGAACTGGGTCCAGGACCCCGGACCTACGGGAAACTCGGCACCGAGTCGCGGGGAAACAGCCCGCGACGGAGAGGTGGGGATGCCGGGTGACAGAAAAGGCAGGGCACGCTCGGAGAGCCGGGTCCGTGAGTCGGAGGGAGCCGGGCTTGCTGCAGCGTCAAGGCCGAGCACGAACAGCCACTCGAGGATCGCGGCGACCCGCGGGCGAGGTCCCGGCAGCCTAACTTTCTGTCCCGCCGTGCTTTCGGAGCCCACGGAACCTGTGCCCGCTCCTCCGCCCGCCCGCTCCCCTTCTGCGCTCTCGTCCTTCTCCAGGCGTTTCCTGGATACCAAGCGTTTCTCCTCTCGGGAGGAGGCGCAGGTCTCCGCGATCCGCGGCCTCGGCCCGGCCCGGCCCGGCCCGGGTCCCTCCGGCCTCCGCCGCTTCCTCCTGCCTCGGCCCCGCCTCCCCGCCTCCCCGCCTCCCCGCCTCCCCGCCTCCCCGCCACGCGTGCTCCTGCAGTCCCCGGGGCAAAATGCGCTGCACGGCGGCCCAGAAGGCGGCGGGCGGGGAGGCGGAGGCTCTGGAGCGCCGAAGGCCCCTCGGCTGCCTCGCGCCTCGGGAAGCCGCCCACGCGCACATTTCCAATCCGACCCGCACCGAGATTCGCCGCTCCGGACTTCTCGGACTTCGCTGGCCTGGCGAATTTGCACGCGGGTCCTGCAAAGGCCGTCGGCGGCCTAGCAACGCAGCTTGTGCTCACCGAGCCAATGTGTGCTTCCTCCCGAAACCCAGCACGCAGCTCGTCTCTGTGGCGCAATCGGTTAGCGCGTTCGGCTGTTAACCGAAAGGTTGGTGGTTCGAGCCCACCCAGGGACGCCACTTCCTATTTTGCACACTTTCTGATGTGGCAGCTCAGCTGCCTTCTGCAGCTTGACCAACTGCTGCTCCTCAGCAATTCCACCAGGAAACCTGCTCAAGGGACATATCCCTCTGCGACAACAGGCCGTCACCTTTGCACCACGGACAACAAACAAACAAACGTGCTGCGTCCCGTACCAAATCTTTAGAGCCCACCCTCCCACACCTTGGAGGACAAAAGGAAAGTGGCTCTTCTTCAAATGTGATATGAGCCCAACGGGAGTAGCCTATCCTCACACTGGGGGGTGGGGGTGGGGGCGAGGAGAAGGGGGAAAGGGGGCGGCGGCCTGGATTTGGGGACTGCTCCAGCAGTCATCTTGCCACTAGTGAGATCATCAGCATAACGAAACCTCTTCATGGTTTTCCAAGAGCAGCTTTCTTCCCTAGTTTCGGCACCACTTAGCCCTTCTGCAAATGCTTTTAAAAGTAGCCGTGTTGCACCCTTTCCTAATCACAAACGCTGCTACAGTCTTCATTCCTGTACATATAGTTCAGGTCATTTGCACAGACCTTGCTACACTGTAGCCACCTGGCTGAGCAGGTGCCACATTGTACAACTTGTATAATGCTTCTTCTGTGTGAGTAACGTCTGCGCCTGTGTCTTCTGCCTGCCCGGCACTAACTCACAGTACAATGTATTTCTCAATTTTATCGGTGCCCCTTCCTTCATTAACTGCCTGCACAACTGACTTGCTCTTTAGGTGACCCGCTAAGAAGGGCAGTGCTGCTGACAGACAACAGAAGGCCTTGGTGGACCTGGTTCCACATCTTTTGTCTCCTGAATTGGACAGCTGGACTTCTGAGACAGCTTAAAGTCCTCTAATACCTGTACAGTGCTTGCTCTCTGTGGTGACCTAGTCGCTAGGACCCAGGCAAGACAGGTCAGAGTAACCTCTTCGATAGCTGTCAGCCCAGCCACTTATCCTAGGGAAGGAAAACCTGGGGAGCTCTGGTCTCTTTTTCCTCTTCAACTTGCCTCTTTCCTGATACATCTTGATTCGGCGGCGTTCATAGGGTCTGATGAGCACAGTCTAATGCCATTGCTTCCTCCTGCACAATGGCGACTTGGCCTCTAAGTAACTGTCTTCATTAGTGCTATAGAGCACTCTACATCAGTATTTGTCTCTATATTATTGCTTGGCAGGACTGACAAAGGCTAGATCCTTAAACATTAGCCCATCTGAGACACGTCATTGGAGCCCATGGAATCCTACACCTTGTACAGATCCAGTCCTTTAGAGGCACTGGCTGAGGTTCCCTTGGTTCTTCCGTTGAATCTCAGGGGGCAGTCTTTGAGCTCCTTGGTTTTTACAGCAACCAAGCAGAGTGGTTATTAGAAAGTCATTGTCTCGATAAGCCCTTTCTGTGCAAAGATTTTCTCCCATTAGTGGCATCACTGTCAGTTTCCACTTCTGATGGCATGAAATGAACATGTGGTTAGGCAGTCTGTTGGGTGGGGGTTATCGGAAAACAGTTCCCTGGCTTTTCTTCGTTTTTGTTTCTGGCATGAGCACTAAATCCTGAGCCTTGGCACTGAGATACGTGCCTTTATTTCATTCTACTTTATTTTTTCCACTTCACTTCATTCATTTCATTTCGAGACAGTCTTGCTAAGCCACTAAATCGCCCAGGCTGGACTTGAATTTGTGATGCTCCTGCTTCAACTTCCCACAGTGCTGTCATTACAGGTGCCTGCCACCACGCCAGGCCCATTTTCTATTCTGAGGCGCATAAGTCTCAATCCAGGCTGTGAGTCTTTCTTTGACTTGTCTAGTATGCTGAGGAATCTACAATTTCCTGATATTTGAGAGTGCAGCAAAAGAAAAGCTTCCCACCTTGTCTTTCTGGTACTGGTTTAAAATCTTATGGCTCCAAGAGCTGCCAACTTCTACAAGAGGGGAATATCTGCAGTAAAAATGATCTCAGCACGCGGTTGCTGAGCTTCAGATCCGGAAATTCTCAACCTCTTTCAGCCATCACCCAAATCTCTACAAACTGACGGGTATGATGAATCTGGAAACCAAGAAGGTGTTTCCTGTGGAGCCCATTTGTCTTCTTCCTGCCCGGCACACGGTTGCGCAACAGGCTGATCTGCGAGCCCAGCCAGGCAACACGCACACAGGGAAACAAACCAACCTCCACTGTGCACCTGCAGCTCCGCGGAAGACACGCGGAATACGGGCCACGCCTCTACTGACTGAGAAGGTCGGGACCGAAGGGAGCCAGCCTCTCTGCCGGGGACTCCTCTCTCTGCGGGGCCCCACGAGCCTGGTCAGAGACCTGGAACCAAAGGGCCTGGGCGCCTCACCTCCTCACCCACCGAGAGCCAAGGCGGCGCTTTCTGAGCCCAAAGGGAACGGGACGCACGCGCCAGAGGAGCGCTTGTGCTGAGCTGAGGCGCCCACCGCGCTAGATCAGGCCCGAGCACGGGCCAGTTTCCTGGGGGCCTGGCCTCGGAGCGCCGCGCACGGCGCAGGTAAGGAGAAGGGAGAGGTGCCGAGAGATGGGGCAGCCCCTGCCACCACCGCGAGTGGAGAGGGAAGAAACCTTTCCAGGGTCCCTTACTTTCCTGAGGAAGGTGGATCTTTCAAGACAGCCATCCGCGCCCGCAAGAAAGTCATTAGAAGGTCCCTGGTGGTCTAGTGGCTAGGATTCGGCGCTTTCACCGCCGCGGCCCGGGTTCGATTCCCGGTCAGGGAACACCTTTTGCCACACCTGCCATCTGCGAACCTGGTGTCAGTACCCTCCTCTTCTTCCCCCACTGCTACTACCTTCATCAGGCAACCCAACCTGCCTTCCCCATCTTCCAGCCAAACCTCCAGCCTCTTGATTCGTTGGGGGGGCGGGGGGGGGGGCGGGGGGGGCGGGGAGACGGTGGTGAGGGAGACTGGGACGGGGGCGGACCGGCGGGGTGGGGTGAGGGGAATGGCGTGTTGGAAAGCGGAACAAAAACACTTACAAGGTTCCTAAGTCTGTAGGGTTTTCATTTATGCTCCTCACCTACTCTTTTCCCCGAGGGAAAAGAACCCTCACCCTCTGGCAGGTGTCTCCAGGACCTTGGGCTGCACTGCTCTCGCTCCTCTGCTTGGGCGGTGCCTCTCCAGTCAACGACCTTCAGGGACCTTCCTGGACGACCAGGAGGTGTGTCTTCGCAAGGACTCTCTGTCAGACCCTCAGGAACGCAACACCCATTGTGTCCGCACCCCTTAGAGAAGGCGGAGGTCTGGAGGTCTCTTGGCCTTTTCCTGACCTCCCAGGCCAGGGGCACCCACACTGTTCTAACTCGATGAACTTGTCATCCTGCAGGTGCCCAATGCCTTTCCGGCTGGCTCCTCAGGGTTGCTCTGATGGACAACTGGGTCTTGGGTCAGCCAGAAGACCTCCGGAACCACCTAGGCAAGGGAAACTCTTCTGGGAAGTGCGGTGGCCCCTTGTGTTTGCCAGACTGTGTGCACCCTGCAGGGGTCTTCTTCAAGGGCTCTGATCACCTCGCAGAAGCTGGAGAACCAGTGTGTGTGGCTGGCAAGGTGAGAGAGAGAAGAGCATGCAGAGAATGGATCAAAGGAAACGAAGGGGAAGGTTCTCCACAGCTTTGCAGAGTGTTGTGGGTAAGTACTGTCAGAGGTGGCTGCCCTGTGATAAGAGATCTCAGACTCCGCAAGTCTTGGCCTTAAACCCAGTCTCTCTGGTCAGTGTGAATTCAAGCACACTGACAAGCATCCCGATTCATGGCGCATCTTCAAATGCTCCTCTCCACACAGCGATACAGGAGCTAAGGCCACAGATGGGAATCCTGAAGATCACGGACTCCATTAGTGGATGTCAGGGAATGCACCGTCATACTGTCATCTTCAGAAGTCGGAAAGCCGGAGCACTGTTTCCTCCAGCAACTTTAATGGAGGCCTGATGTTTTCCCGAGGGGCTCACGCATCGGAAAGAATGCTGTGGGGCTGGGGATTTAGCTAAGCGGCGTAAGTGCCTGCCTTGCAAGCCTGTGGTTGTGTTTGATCCCGGTACCAATTCAAAAAATAGTAATAATAAAAAAAAGAAAACTCTGGCTCTTGGTTATCATCTGCCTTCTACATTTTTCTGTGTATCCAAAGGAACTGACGTTGGTAACTGACGTTCAGCTTTATAAGGAATCTGGACATTTTATTCTAAAGCAAGTGTACTGCTTACACGGAACAACTACAGTAAAAGAGATAAAGGCAGACTGGGGTGCCCAAAATACTTGGCTCAGAAGACTTCACAGACAAGCTTCCAATCTGTATGCCACCAGATAACATTCTGACTCCGGGCAACTTGTTTACACTCTGACAGCTACAGGTGTCATTACAGTAGAACATTCCAGTCCTGTAGTTAGCCACCGGGTCATCCCATCCGTGGCTCCTTTCTTTTCCCAACAATTTATTGCTGTCCCCACCCCCGCACCAGTCTCAGAACTATTCTATGTATAGCCTTTAAGGGACACGTTCTTTTATTCATTATTGGGGAACAAATTCAGAGACCCCCTTCCCACTGAACTATATTCCTGGCCCTCTTTTTCTTTATTCATTGATTGATTGGTTGCCTGCCTGTTTTGGACCTCTGGCATTTCAAAATCGATTTAAGGATCATCTTGTCCATTCCTGTCCTCCATTTGATAACCACAGCATTGACTCTGCAGGCCATTTGCAGGTCCACTGTCATCCTTTCCATATCTAGTCTTCCTACCCATGAAGAGGAGATGTCTTCCTGTGCATTTCCATCTTTTTAAAGTTCATTTTAAGAAGGTTTTGTATGTGTTATCACAAGTTTCTACATCTTTTTTTAAGTTCATTAAATTCATTCCTAAGCACTCTGTTTTATTTTTCAAAAGTACTATAAGTGGTATTGTTGGTTTGGTCCTTGGATTGCTCATTGCCAGGGCCTAAATATGCCACTGATTTCTGCAGACTAATCTGGAAAGCTGCATTCTTCCTGCATGCATCTGATATATGGAGGAATTCCTTAAAGATCAAGAAATCTACACACAAACACATTTTACTTTTTCGTTTAAAGTATGGGTTTCTTTTACTCCTTCTTCTTGCCCCACACCCAGCTATAACCTCCACTATAACACTGAACAGGAAGGTTCAGAGAAAAGTACATCGCAACTACCACCTGAAAATATAGACCAGACCACTAGAAAGAGCAACAGAATACCCACTGGGATGAAGGGTTTTTATTTGTTTGAGACAGGGTCTTGCTACGAGCTTCAGGCTGGCCTCAAATTTGTGGTGATCCTTCTGCCTCAGCCTCCCAACTGCTGGGGTTACAGCCATGCACAACCAAGCCTGGCCCATTGTTATTAAGTTGCTATAAATACATTAAAGCCTAACACCACCTCGTCTCCTTTCATGGTGATAGAAATCAGTGACGAAGATCCATTATTTAAGGCTCCAAATCTATTAAAAGTCAAACAGAGCACACTCCCCGTTTCGATCTTTTATTGCAATAATTGCCGATTATGAGGCCTCCGCTGCAGGTGGCTGCTGCATCCTGAACTGTCTTGACACACCGACCAGTCAGCACCTCATCTAGCGCCTCTGCAGTCACTTTCATCCAACTTCCCACTCGCCTGGGAAGAAAGACCCCATAGTCGGGTGTGAAAAATGATTCGGTTGCAGCATCTCAAAAGTCAGCATGTTAGATCTGTGTCATTTTGGGCTTCCAGATCATCTGAGAGACTAAAGCAGAGTGAAGAGAGTAGACTGTACGATCACCTTTAGCTTTCCCAGGATGCCACTTCAGTTGCATCAAATATTCAGAGCCCAGGTGAACATAAATATCCCCCAGAGAGGTTACTGTCAGAATCCATACATTCGAAATTTGGAGGTGCAAAATAATCTACAGTGTTGCCAAGAGAGTGGAGGAAAAAAAATTAAAAAACTGCACCTATAAAGGTTAGAAATATGACTTGCTTGGGCCATCTTCTCTGAAGGGCAATTAGGAAGAAATTAGCAAAGTTGGAAATAAGCAAATACTTAGATCTTCCAATTGCATTTGTCTAATTTTCTCTCAGAGAAACACAAAGGGGGGGGTGACAGATGAATACAGCGAATATACAGGATGTTTGCCCAACAGCAATAGTTGTAGTAATAAATACCAGGGTCACAGCAGAGGATATAGCTCAGTGCTAGAGGACCTGCTTAAGTAAGCACAAGGCCCAGGGTTCAATCCCTACTCCTGTGCAAAAATAAATAAATAAAGAAAGAAAGAAAGGAAGGAAGGAAGGAAGGAAGGAAGGAAGGAAGGAAGGAAGGAGGGAAGAATACTGGGACCAAATTCATGCTCACAGATTAGAAAATGTTTAAATAATTAACGTTCCTTCATATTACAAGAGAATATGTAACTGTAAAGCTGACACAGATAGTGATAATAGCAGTGCTGGAACCACCACCACCACTAACAATGACGATGATGACGCCGACTCGTACTTACAGAGCTTTTACTATGGAACGCGCAGGCCTTGGGTTCATTGTTCTACCTGCAGATCACACTTACACTTGGCACAACCCATATGGAAATCACCCCTTCTGGCTCATTGTACAATGTGTAAATGGAAGCAGAGAAAGCTTCAATGACTTGTCCAAAGGCTCATCGAGGCCCACGAGGTTTCCCACTCCAAACTGTGGCTTCACTGGAGAAGACTACAAGGTGATCTTGTTCTTCTTGCTAGGAACTGTCAGCTACTTAGAGATGTGTACCCTTAAAAACCAGCCTGGGGGATAGTGAGGTGTCCCTGGCTGTGGGATCTGTGTATGTTCTGGGGCTGCCGAGCTGAGTTTCTGCAGAAAATACACGTTGTGAATGCTTTTTAAAATGTTACTAACTGACTTTTGAGCATTTTGGCAGAAAGCTTTCCTCTAACTTTAAGCAGAGGTGCAACAAAGATTTGCAGGCAACTGGACATGTACAAATGAAGGCCTGAATGGAGTACAGTTATGAGGAAACCATCTCTCTGGCTAGGATGGAGTAACCGATCTTTAGTCGTTTGTGGACCGATGCTCCAAGTGACGGTACCACAAATTAGCACATACTTTCCAAAGGTCTGATGATGGGAGGCACAAGCAGCTATCTGTTATAAATATTCCCTATTTTGTCCCACTGTGCTGGTTCCAGAAGCTGCGGTGGGGGGCATTACCACAGAGGCAAGGGGTCGTGAGGCCGGACAGGTTTGGGAATAATAGACCCCAGGCCCATGTGAGGGCTCCGAACAGGAACACTCAATCTAATACCTTTCATTCCAAACCTCTAGATCCAACACCATTGGTTACTACTTGTCTGCTATGTTTCACTTGCCTGGCTCCCTGTTCGCCTCCTCCAGCCCTACCGCCCATGCAACCAGGAAAGACACACACCTCTTCTATCTTGGTAATCCAGCCTGCCCACCCCACCTTCATGACCCCAGGTGCAGGCTTCAGGGAACACGTCCCTTGGACTTGCTCACCACGCACCAGCTCACCTCAAGCAAGGCCCGGCTCCAGGCGAGCGCCCAGTAATGGCAGTGAATTGAAAGAATTCTAAATGCAGGCTTCTGAGAGAGATCAAGAACTTGAGTTGACTTCAGATGCTTAAGAGTCATTCCAATAATAGGAAGTGTGAAAAGTTTTGCAAAGGCTGCATGCTTCAGAACATGTACTCTGAGAGCTAATTTAGAATCAGGAGTCTGTCTGGATTCTGGCAAAGTCCACAGGGCACCATGTGCACTGGAAGGACCTCTCCACCTGGAGGGTACCAGTGCCTCCGCCTTTTGGACTCGGTTCACAGAGCTGAAGGCAAACCCAGAAAGCTGAAGTGCAGGAGCACAAAGTCAGCAAGACTGGGGGGTGGGGGGTGCCGACTCGGGGGAGCCACGAAGAGACAAAGCCAGACACATGGACACAGGTCGATACAGGAGGCACGAGTGGGGCAGATATGTCAGAAACCAATATGCAGCGTGTCAGTCAGTGAGTCCCACTTTCCTCATGAAGTTCCATGGGCGCTCTAAGGGACCAGGCGTGCATAACATGTCTCCTCTTGTGCAGGATTCTGTGGCTCCAGAGTCTTGTCTCAAGTGCGATAAGGTTGGCAGAAATAAACACTGAGCAAGACTAACAGAGAGACAGTTATCAGCTTCCCTTGTAGGGTCGGGAAGATGGTCATTTCAGCGAAGCCAAAATGCCTGTTGATAAACAGAAAGAAGATGACTGAATGTCTGGGGCCAGAGACTGTGCCCCGCCTCCTGGATAAGCTGCCAGCACAAAGCAAAAGGGATTACTCCAGCCAGTCTTCTCTGCAGCCCGTCCGCTAGATCACCACAAAAAAACACTCAAAAGTTATCGGAAGACTTTTAAGCAGCTTGGCAGTTTAGCTGCCAACCATAAGCAATTGGAGTGACTCGTGGGCAATGTCTGGCGTGCCATTCTCTCAAATCTCCCCTCTCCTGTCATTAGAATCCCCGATAGATCACGAAATGCACGTTGTGCCAAGTAAGAGTAGGGAAAAGGGCCTGTCACTGAGTTGGAAAGACACAGTGGAGTACAGGTCGTCATACCTCTCATAGAAGTTAAAACTAAGCACGCACAAAGATACCTTCAGCTTCTGGCAAAAGAGGAGTAACAGAAATCCGAGACACTCTCTCCTGCCTGAAACTCCCTTCCCCCCTTACTCCCAAGGAAAAAGAATCTGACAAAATACATGAAATGACCGTTTCCTGTGACAGAATACATGAAACGACCGTTTTCTGTCATACTAGAAATGAGGTGGCCAAGAACAGCAACGCCTGAGAGAGGAAAATCCGACAGGGTGAGCCCTCCCATTGCCTGGGCTCACTGCTGGCAGACAGTTCCTGGCTCAGCACCAGCAGGAGATCGGAGGATGACTGGATTGGGGACTTGAAGCCCAGGGTGTTTGGAGAGCAAGGCAGCCAGAGTGCACAGGACAAGCTCCAGTGATGGGAAAGATGGATAGAAAGAAGACCCAGAGCTATGGAAAGAGTCGCCGCCACGTAGCGCGGAGAATGACCAGCATTTGCGCGTGAAGACAAAGAAAGAG